TATCTAACCATCTCATCCTCTGCCGGCCCCTTCTCCTTTTGCCTTCAATCTTTCCCAGCATGAGAGTCTTTTCCAAAGAGTCCTCTCTTTGTATTAGGTGGCCAAAGTATCTGAGCTTGAGCTTCATTATCAATCCTTCCAATCAGCATTCAGGGTTGTTTTCCTTTAAGATTGACTGGTTTGACCTCCTAGCAGTCCGGGGGACTCTTAAGAGTCTTCTTCAGCACCACAGTTCTGCTTAGCACATGTGATACCATCCATTGGTCCTTTTGGAAGTTAGTTATAAATGACGCAGAATTTCAGTTTTCAGAGAAGAAAGATCAGGCTGGGATCTGATCTTTTTGCTCTGTTTACAGAATTAAGTTTCATTCCAACAAAGAAAGTTGTATGCATAGAAAAGGCTTTCCAGGATTTTGGTTCTTCTGTGAATGGAAGTTTTATGGATATAAAAATCAGGATCCAAGCCAAAGGTTTCAGCTTTGAAAGTAAGTAAAGAAGAAAATTTCTTCCATCGGTATTTTTTTAACTTCCTATATATATATATAACATACATACATACATGCATACATACATACATACATGAGAGAGAGAGAGAGAGAGAGAGAGAAGATGGAATATTAATACAATATATTGTGAGTTTTTTGCCATATGGGATTTTCTGGGCCTTATTGTTTTAATCTGTGAACTGTGGAATATATGCTGCTCAGAGTCATACTGATTGCCGTAGCATATAAGCCCTAGTAATAAATGAATAACTGTAAATGTAAAAATAATATATTTCCCAAGTATTTAATTTTGCATTACCTGTGCTAATCAATTTTTCTCCTTAATGTTTGTTTAGAAACAAGTCCTCAGCATTTTCATCTGTCTTTGTTCCGCCTCAGAATATTTAAGATTGTAATATTTTAACTCTGTTTTTTTAAAGTTCCATATTTTGAAACTAGTCTTTTTCAAATTATGCTTGATTTTATTTAGTTGATGTGTTTCTGCTCCATCATTTAAAATACTTAACTTGCTACAAGACAGCCTACAACATAAAAGCCACAGAATGGCAGAAAAGAGGATTGGGAAGAAAGCACAGTCAGTCGATAGCTTCTTTGAGGCAAAAAGACAAGCAGGAATATAATAGTATAAATGAGAGAAACCCAATGCTGCTGCTCTCTTACTAGACTCAGGTCCATCAGCCCTCCTGTCCTCCATTTTCTGATTTGACCCTGATTGAATAGCTGCCTTTCTGCTTCCTCATTGATTTCTTTCTGTACAGCTGTAGTGCTGTTACCTGGAATTTTAGGCTTCATGATTAGCATTTTAAAAGGCGATGTTATTATTTTTAACATGGCAGTCTAGGCTTCTTTTTTAACTTTAGGAAACCAGTTTTACCTTTGATATGCAAAAGCTAGCCTTTTCAGAAACTAAACAATAGGGAGCATATTCTGGAATCCCTGAATACACTTGCAAATGTTAAGAAACAGACTCAATTGGAAAAGGGAGTGAGGTAGCCTATAAATTTGCCACTTGATCTAGAATCAATGTCTTCTATTGTTTGATTTGTTGCTTCATGATGCATCTAACGCAAATATCGAATGTATGTATTATTTGTTTCTGTACCCTATATAAAGACTTGACCCCCCCCTTAATAAACGCTTTTTGCTTTGCCTGAATTACTTGTGGTTTGTATTGTGTGTGTGTGTGTGTGTGAAAAAGCCACTTTGCAAAGGTAGTGTCTCTCTCCCAAATTTCCTCTGTCAGTTTGGATTTGACTAAGATTGACTGCACAGATTCAAGTTAGTCTTTGAAGGATTGTTTAAACATTAAGAATATAGAACATTAGAAACATTGGAAATAGGTGAGTAGCAGCTGTTTAAGCAGCAGCCTGTATACATCTTGCATTTAATGGGGGGTTGGACTACATGATATTTGGCAAACGTTCTACTGGGAAACTTCTGCCTTGACTGGCAGAGGCTCTCTTAAGACCTTGTGAAGGGGCCTTATCCTACATGATACTTAGAAGAGGGCAAGGATTGAACCTGGTCATTATACATATTTTGTATGTATTTTAGTAAATCAAACATTTCTTAATAGTAATTTATATTTATTGAAAGCAAAGTCTTATCTGCTGCTACACAAGGGGTGTGGTAGATTTTGGTTGAACACTAGGGAAACTTGATGATGATAAAAGCAATTGGAGAATAGAGTCTAATTATACAGAGATGTGATCAGCATGTTGTACCTAGAATCTTCCAGCAAACGCTAGGCAGCTGTGAAAGGCTTTAATGCTATATAGCAGATTAACTAGATAGCCATCAGGGTCCCGTGGAACTCTGTGGTTCTGAGATGGTTGTGAACCTGTGCTTAGCACCAAGCTACAGGTCCAGCCAGATTTTTTTACAGACAGTGGTCGACAGCGGTCGACAGCGGTAAAGCTATCCTGTTTCCTTATTTCATTATGCCTGCAGCTGAATGAGCTGCAAAGAGAGAGAGAGAGAATAAGGAACGCTATTCAAGTAGCCCTTGCCTCAAGTCTAAACTTATGACTTGCTATGAGAAAGGCATTGTAGTTTAGACCCATTGACTAGAAATGGACAAAATATAAAATTCGCTGAATTAAGATTGCAGTTGTAACCTATCAAAGGCTACACATTCCTTACTTCAGCTATATTGGCAAATAAATGGGAGTGACTTTTAACAAACATTTTTGAACTTAAATTTGTGGGTGTTCTGCCAAGCGTTGGCCAGGTGCTAGACAGTCATTTTTTTTAGGATCCAGAGACAATGAGCATACCAGTAAATAAAGGTATTTTAAGCTTTATTGTTAAAATTAGCAGGCAAATTAAGCAGAAACATGAAAGCATATAACATATAAAAGCATAGCACACCAAGCAAGATGATACCCAGTCTCCCTTCAGCTGTCGGGAGCCCTGACGGAATGACAGTGGAGATACCCCAAGGCAGCCAATTCACACAGTGCCTGGTACCAAGTCTGTCTCGAAGCTCCAAGCTCAAGGGGCAATCTTAAGGTTTTTATCAAAGTCTGGCATTAAAACCTCATGACCCTGTGTCCATGTGACCAAGACTGCAGGACCTGACCTTGGCTAGATGGTGCACTTGCTCATCAGAGCCCTGGAATGTAAATCAAGAGCCTGGGAACTATACAGAAAACCCAGTGCTAATTTGGATAATGTTGAGGTCCTCCTACAACTGTGTAAAGATTCCTCCCTTTTCTTGATTTACCAGGCAAAAGAAAAAACAAGCCAGCTAGACATTATTATGACTCAGAGTGAACTCTAAGCTTCTTAATATGAAGGAGAAATTAAAAAATGTCACCTCACTCCTCGAAATATAATGGTCTTCTGCACTGCCACTATAGTGGGTAAAAATACATAAGGTAGCATTGTAAATGATTTCCAGATTGCATTTATATTGACTAATTTTGCATTTTGTAAGTTGTGGATCTTTGTTAAGAGTCAACAGATTTGTACAGATTTTAATTCAGAAAAAGTCACTGCATTAAAATCTATTTAACATTCTTGTATGTTTGTTGATTAACAGTACTTCAAGGATCCCTTCACTAATTTAGAGCTAAGGTTAGAATTCAGCAGTTGGAAGATCAAAGGCAGGGGGTCTTAAGCTGGGATCCACAGACATCTTTGTGGTCTATGGATAGATCCATGAATTTGCTAATCCCTGTATTAAAGACAGTTGTTGGGTTTACATCCCATTATAGTATGGCTGCATTATGATGGTTTTAAGTCACAGTTCACTTTCTGGGTTCAAGTAGACCACTTGGCCAAAAACAGAAATTACAGTATGTCAATGCAATATGATTTAGCGTGTTGTAGGAACCGGGTCACTGCCATTAAATTGATACATCTTGAAGTAGTAGATTCATAATTTCCACCCAGCTTTCCATTTATTTCAGGATTTTGTTCTGAAAAGATAATATACAAAGCATTTTCTGCAATATGTCCTTTCTTTTTGTTGGATCCATAGACAGAAAAGTCACCAAGGAACTGGGATCATTCCCTTATGGGTAAAAGTTGGACTTTTTTTTACTGTATGCCTGGCTTCATTACATTTATATCCCACCATAGTCATGTTCATCTCCGATTTGCTTAATGATTTATAAAATAATAGTGAACTGAGTGTGATTTTAAGCTGTAACCCAAGGTTTACAAAACATTACCACATAAAATCACAAGCAAATCATATTTTTGCTTAGCAGGATATGTGAACCAGGTCATGTCACTCAGTAAATCTCGCTTTTGGGTTGCTGCTAGAAGTGTAGAATGAACAAGTTTAGTGATTCAACCCAGTCATAACTAGCCAGCGCTCTAGCGTTGCGCAATGCACCAGGCTAAACTGTGGTTCGTTTGTGATTCAAATAACCAGACAGACAATCGCCCTGCTAGTTTGTTTGGGGACCGCAACTTCCAGCGGCCCGGACTACAATTCCCTTCCCCCCCACCCAGCGTGACTAGCAGGAGTAACAGGAACTGAGTTCCAACAAAAGGGGACTTCCTGCTCTTCTGCCCCCACTTCCGGCGCTCCAAGCGTTACCGCCCTAACGTCTCTCGTCACGGCGCACTTCCGGAACGTCGACTCCTCAGCCGCGCCCCTTCCGCGAGGCAGCTCGG